CCCCAAAACCCCAAAACCCCAAAACCCCAAAACCCCGCAAGCTCATAATTTCTATTATAATTAACTTAGATAAATGAAAAATATATTTAAACTATGGCAGAGAAATATCATGCCTTCTTGATAGATTATCTTGGTGTGGGATTGACAGTAGTTGGTGGTTTAGCAGTACCAGATCCAATAAGACTTCCTGTTTCTTTAGCCTTCTGATGGAATGTACTTCTTTGCTTTGGGTTTGGAAGAGCATTAGAAAATGAACCTTGACCATCACCAATCTTGCTACCTCCTGTTGTGTTGGCTCCTTTCTGGCTCAACAAAGCTTTGTCAATGTACTTTCCATGTGGAGTGTTTCTTGTGGTACCGGCATTCATACTCACCCTTGATTATCCAACCCTTTAAGAGATAGTAGATCCTGTTTCATTGGTAACGATTGTTTGAATATTCTTTTTCAAGGCGTTTCTAGCATCTAAGATACCTACAACGGGTTTTCTTCCCTCAGAGCTTGGTCTCTCTCCAATTTCATGGTTTCTGTAAAGTTTTCCTTTCCTGTTTTGGTAATCTTGCTTCATCTTGGACTTCAACTAGCTTATCTCCATTTAAGAAGGATCTTGATCAATGCTGTCCTCTCCAAGATCATTGATGAAATACTGAGCCATCAATTCACTCTTAATGAAGTCGAAGTCTTAGTTGAACTTAGTCATTTCTTCTCTCTGGATTCTGAGAAGTTCAGCAGAACCATAAACCATCATAAACTCGTCCATGCCGACGTAACCTCCTCCAACTCTAACCATAAGTTTCTCATTAATCAATGAAGCAATAATTTTTCTGTTACCAATAGTATATTGATTGTTTCCAGTTTTCTTAATTGGAACATCGAAGTTAAGCTTGTTAATATATTCACCAACTTGCTCATCAATGAGATCTCCCTTCATTGAACTGTACATCTTTCTAGAAAGTAGGTTAGCAAAGTTAGCTCTCAACTGCTAATACTTTCTTTTGATGTCTCTGATGTCATTTTGAATAGATTTCAACAGCTTAATCAAATCCAAAATCTTTCTCTTAATCTAGGAGTTAAGATCTAGGAGATGGAAGTGCTCTTCCTTCTTGATGGCTTTCTTTTTGTAGGGGGATTCCTTAACAATCTTCTCATCAAAGAATTTCTAGGCTTCTTGTCTCTTTCTGTCTAGATTATCAATCTCCCCGAATATTTCATCAATATTTTTAAGATAGTCATTCAATTCTTCCTTCAAGTTAACCAAGTCTTCCTTATTTTTATCTTCAGCTGGGTCGATTCCCATCTTTTCAAGACTCTTTTATTGCTGATTGATTATTTTGAGATCTTGGTTTATGGCGTCTGAAGTTGCCTTAAGTCTCTCCTAGAAATGCTGAGTAACTTAGGCTACTTCATTAATTTCAGTCTGTCTCTTGTCTAGCTTCTTTTGTGCATGCATTGCAAGGAACTTTTCTTCCAATTAATCAGCCAATTTTTCTAGGAATATGAGGTCTTGCTCAGTGTTTAGGACTTTGTCTTCAATTCTATAGTTAAAATAAAGAATATAAGGAATTTACCCGCTAAGTTGACCATTAATCTCCTCATTCTATTTAGCGAAATCTTCATCTTCAAAATCATCAATCTATTTTCTGATCTCGAAAATTTGAGCTTAGACATCATCAATAGCTTCAAGAATTTGCATCTGCTTATCTGTTACCTCTGGTCTGTCATTAAGCAATGATTCCTAAAAGCTATTATGCATGAATTTATTACCACAAAGGTTGTTTCTTCTGGGTTGGAGGTGTATCCATCACAGTCATCTCCTCCTTTGTAAATTAACCTGAATCTCTTTTTGACATCATTCAATCTGTTTCTTAAATCTTCTTCCTTCAACTCAAGACCCTTCCATCTGTTTTGAGAGTCCTGTCCTCCTATCTGCTTTCTAAGTTTATTAATGTCAGCTAGTGCTTGATTCATGAAATCAATGGCTTTGGCGATCTTGTCTCCTAATTCTCTAATCTTCTCGATCACTTCTTTAAGCACCTCAAGTGGCTCAAGCTTCTGAGGGGCTGCTTCGTAAGGTTAGAGTTCTTATTTCAAGATTCTTTGGAACTTAACCTTATCTTCAGTGAAAATCTAGATATTTTTCTCAATCAACTTAACATCTTCAGTAGTATTATAGATTGGGTTCTAAATAGTTAGTCTCTTAATATCATTAAGGTCTGATTCATATTATTTAAGTTTTTTGGCGAATTTTTCTAGGTCAGTTTCTCTGCCTTTAATATTCTTTGGGCAATCAGCAATGTGAATGTCTGCTCTAATTTTATTAAGTGAGTCATTGACCTCCTTTAGCTCTTATTCATACTCCTTAAGATTGCCTAAAAGTTCTTCTAACCTGGGTATTTATTCGTTAAGGGTATTAAGGTCAGCTTTAACAATATTATCAATTTTGTTACTCTTCAAATCTTCCATAGCGTCATTCATAATATCTCTATTGGTATTTAGTTAAGCTAAGATATCATCCAAATCAGCTACTCCTTATTACCTTTGCTGGATGAAATCACCTTTTCCTAAGTAGTCTCTCTCAAGACCTTGCTCCATTTAGAATAATACCTCCTTTAGTAAACTTGCTAGTGTTAAAGCATCATCTAGATTTTTAGAGAAATTTCTGAATCCTTTGTTAAGGTCGTTCCCCAACTTTTGATATTGCTTAAACAAATCTTGCAACTCTCCACCTCTCTTTAAGAATTTTTCAAGGTAGTCCAATTTCTTGTCTAGATCGTCAATAATTTTTTGGAGATCATCGTAAATCTTATCTGATTCTCTTCCCATTTGCTTAAATTTGTCTACCAATGCAGCAATTTCTTCATTGGTAGGGGGGTTTTTCTTGTTGGCCTTGTACTTATCTAAGAGATCTTTGGCTTGTTTATGTTTACCTCCTAGTGTTGATCTTTGCAAGTCAATTTTCTTAAGCTCTCCATCGATTCCATCTGATTCACCCTTAAGCTTTTTGATTTCCTTGAGGATTTCATCGTCATCAGAGAATTATCTCATTCCTTCTTTAAGTTTTTAGGCGTATTTTTAAAGTTTATTATCAGCCTCAGCCTACTTTTTCTCTGTATCAGTTAGTTTCTGATTTTGAATGTTCCATGCTTTTTCGGCTTCATCCAATTAAAGATTCTTTGTTTTATCAAGGAATTTATTTATGTCATTTAAGAGAGCATCAAGGTCTTCTTGAAGTTCCTTGAGATCGTCTTATAGCTCTTATAGTAATGCATCCAACTTGTTTAGTTCTTCAATGACTTTTTGAATTTCAGGGGAAAGTACTTCTCTTTCTTACATCTCACCAAGTGGCTTGCAAATGTCATTTATTTTGTTTTCAACTTGACCGATTCTATCATTAATACCTTTGAGTTTGTTTTTAAGTTCATCAAGTTTATCCTTTTTATCCTAGAATTGCACAGCTAAATCACTGCCATCATTGGGAATGTTAATGTTGTTAAGAGTATCATCTACGTTATTAAGTTTCTTATCAATTCCATTAGATGTTCTCTTTATCGATTCTAATTTGGCCAACTTTTGCTTTTTAAGTTCGTTAGCTTTTTTGTAAATCTTATCTTTTTATTTGAATTTATCGTCAAGTTCATTTAAATTGCTGCCAGTTGTATCAAGCTTAGTCTATTACTCCTTTGCTTTATCTAACTGTGCGTCTATTTCCTTTTCCAAATTATTTGACTCCTCGAGATGCTTACCCCAATTCTTGAGTTACTCCTCTTAAGGAACTGAAGAATTTGAATCTTAATCAATAGCAGCTTCCAAATCAGCTATTTTCTTCTTAAGATCATCTCTGGCTGCTTTCATCTCTCCTAGAACTGCTTTTTAATCCTTAAGGTCGTCTTTGATTTTATTTTCAAGATCGTGATCTCTCTCTAGATCCTTGTACCTGTAAGCTCTTTCTAAAGTCTCTGTCTCATCATCTATTCTAGCAATCTCTTTTTCAATCTTATCAAGGATGTCATCAAGTTGCTTTACCTTAATCTTATTATTGTTGATACTGTCCAAGCAATCTTACTTAACTCCATTCTTCTTCTTATTTACTGCATTCTTCATTTTTTTCTCAAGATCGTCAAGTCCTTTCTCAATTGGTGGGAGCTCATGATTGAGAATTGAGTCAAATCCGTCTTTAAGTGTGTCAAGATTTGTGGCCTTTTACAGCTCTTCTTCTGGAAGCTTTGAAAGTTTATCAACCTCAGCCTTAAGCTTCTTGTTTTTATCCTTACAATCATCTAATTCCTTCTAAAGCTAATCAAGCTCCTTTTGCAGTTGATCTTTTAGTTGCCCATATTCATTGGGATCAAGTTTTGCAATTTCCTTATTAATATCATCCATTCTCTTTTAGATCTCATCAATTTTCTTGTCAACTTCATCACCAAGTCCTTTAAGGGCATTCAGCTTGTTTTTAGCGCCATTCTTTTTGTTATCTTCTGCGAGTTTCTCAAGATCTTTCAATGCATTCTCAATTTCTTCTAAGAGTTTCTTCATTAAATCACCTAGGTCGTTCTCAAGAGTCTATTTTAGTCTGTCTCTTTGCTTCTCTAGTTCTTAAGCAAGATGAACATAATTAGGAATGTAATTTGCATTGAGCTTTGGTTGCGATTTCTTGAATCTGTCAAGTTTAAAGTCCTCATTCTTTACTGCATTAGTAACTTGCTTTGATTTAGCTAGGAACTGGGAGATTTTGACCTTGATGTTAACCATGGGATCAACTTGGTTCTCGTCAAGGAGTTCTACTGCATCTAATCTCTTGTCGCAAGCAGCCACTTTGTCTCCGAGATCTTTTTACAGAGTGTTAATTTTCCCGATCAAGCCTAAATTCTCAGCTGATTGATCAGTAATCTTCTTGTTGTAAGTATCCTGTACTTATTTGACAAATGTGGAGTATTCCTCCTGTCTCTTTCCATAATTTTGCTCAAGACCCTCAGTCTCTTTTGTTAAACTCACAACTTTCCCATCAATAGCCTTTATTTTCTCAAAGTAAGCAGTCAAAACATCGTTTGGCAAGTCATTCTTTTGCAAGAGTTTTTGATCGATAACAGTGATCTCATTCTTGATTTCATTTCTCTTACCAAGAGCAGTTTAAATTTCACCAAGGATTGACTCAAAGTTTTTATCAAGTTCTAGGTTTTTCATTCCTCCTTCTTCAACTAATTGTTGAAGCACTCTATGACTCTCTTAGCAATTCATTTAAAGTTTCTTAAGTCTCTAGTCAAGATCTTGCAATTTCATCATCTGTTCTCTTCCCTCTTTTTCAATTTGATGAGTAAGAATCTAGTGCTATTTGTCATTTTGCAAATCAGCGTTTTGCTTATTCTCATTCTCAAGGAAAGCTTTCTTCTACTCGATAGCCTTAGCTAAGTCCTCTGCCTCTTGCTTAAGCTTTTCAATCTCTTTTTTAAGATTCTCTAATTTTTCCTTAACTTGCTCCAAATCGTGTGGTAAGAGATAAGCTTACTCCTTGAGCTTATCTTTCTCAGCCATAAGTTCATCAAGCTTTTTCTTTAGTTGATCACTCAGTTCTTGCTGCTTCTTGATCTAATCTTTGAGATCATCAAGGAACTTCTATAAGTCATCATTTTCTTTTTAAAGCTTATCTAGCTCAGCTTTCTTATCAGCCTTTAACTTATCTTTGTCAGCAGCTTTGGATGAGATTTCCTTTAAGTCAACCTTCTTTTTCAGCAACATTTCTTGCAACTCTAGCAGAGTATCATCAAGAACCTTTCTTTTAGCTCTAAGATCTTTGAGCTCCTCCTTGAGCTTAGCAGTTTGGTCTTATAGATCCTTAATGGTTTTATCTTTCTCAGCTAGTTGCAGCTTTCTTTGATCATCAATATCTTAAATGGCTTTAGATCTTTCTATGGCAAGTTTGTCTAAATCTTATTTCGTCTTCTCGTGATTATCTTCCTTCTCCTTCAATGCATTCTGACGATTGTCAACTCTACACAATGATTAATCAATCTTTGAATAAACAGTACTGATTTTTCAAGTGCTCTTTCTCACTCATCATTTGATTAAGTTTTTATTCTAGAGTAAGATTTTATTGTGCCTTTAACTACTGCTCCTTCTTTTATTTGATCTGGATTTCATCATCGTGGTCCTGCATTCTCTTCTAGATGACTGAGCTCATATCCTAAAGCCTTCCAAGATTGTTAAGCAACTTATTGGCAAGCTTATCGTTTCGCCTATATGGAAGATATTAATTTGAATCTAAGTTAGATGTGATTCTTACTCTGCAGCATTCTTTTAAGCATCTGGATTATCAGACGACACATTAACTGTCTAAAACCATTTAAAAGAGATATTTTACTGTTGATGTGGTAGTAGGGCCTTTCATGGAAATCAGCAGACTACCAAGAGATGGAGAAGAACCAAGAGATTCTCCCTGTTTGTTGAATAGTTTGTCCATTCTTCTGATGTTATAGAAGATACAAAGTTTGTTATGATTTAAAGTTATATATTTTCTTTGAAGAATAGATAAGATGATTGAAACAATAATTTTCATTTAAATATTTAAGGAAATCACCTTTTACTATCCTTGAAATTTGTTATTAATTTAAAGTGTGGGGTTTTGGGGTTTTGGGGTTTTGGGGTTTTGGGGTTTTGGGGAGATCGGA